ATTTTTTTTTTTTTTTTCTTTTTTTTACTCTTTTTTTTTTTTTTTTTTTTTTTTTTTTTTTTTTTGTACCGGGGATCAAACTCGGGTCCTCACGCTTGCAAGGCAGGCCACCGAACCGCTGAGCTAAATCCCCAGCCCTTTTCACTCCGATTTTTTTAAAACTGTGGAAAACCAAAATAAAAATGGCTCATCCATAAAAGGTTTTAGAAATAAGTGAAGTCGGGCATAGAGGCTCACACTTGTAATCCAAGCACTTGGGAGGCTGAGGCAGGAGGATTGCTATGTATTTGAGGCCAGTCTTGGTACACAGTGAATTTTTTTTGTTTTGTTTTTGTTTTTTGAGACAGGTTCTCACTATGTAGTTCACACTGATCTGGAACTCACTATGTAGCCCAGGCTGGTCTGAACTCACAGCGATCCTCCTGCCTCAGCCTCCTGAGCAAGTGCTGGGATTACAGGTGTGCACCACCACGCCCAGTGGCTAGCGTTTTTTAAAACTATTTTTGGGGTATGTCCCTCTCTCTGCTTACATTTTCTTCTTGTTCTTTGTTTTGCATCACTGGGTGTCACACACACTATACCACGGCACTACATCTCTCACCCATCTATTCTTGCATTGTCTACTTGATCCATTAAACCTTTAGCACATTAATCAGTTATTTTAAATTCCCTATCTAGTCATTCCTAAATTTGTATCATTTCAGATGCTTTTTTTTTTTGGTACCAGGGATCAAACTTGGGCCCTTGCACTTGTGAGGCAGGCACCAGAACCACTGAGCTGAATCCCCAGCCCTTCAGGTGATTCTTTTGTTTCTTCAAACTGCTTTTTTGGGACCATTAGCATGCCTTAGAAATATATTCGTTAAAAGTAAATTTCAAGCTGGCATGTGGTGGCGCATGCCTGTAGTCCCAGCACTCAGGAGGCTGAGGCAGGAGGATCAGCACAAGTTCAAGGCCATCCTGGGCTACATAGTGAGTTCAAGCTTGAACTACATAGTGAGGCTCTGTCTCAAGGGAAAAAAAAAAGTACATTTCTTTACTATGTCGTACTCAGGTATAGTCCCACAGTTTGGGGCTTCTAAAGAGAATACAAAATTACATGGGCAAAATTAGGTAGAGAGTCTTGGAAGAGGCTCGTGCAAAGGAAGAGCCTTAGGCTTTTTCATGTTCATTATGTGGGGGCAAATTAGAGGGCCATAAACAAAACCCCAAGGCAAAACACAGGTGACTAACGTTGTAAGATCACCACGTGCTTCTGTGTGCCACTCACACGAGAAAATGTACTCTCACGGGAGAGTTACTCACGTCCCCTTCTGCTGACCTCAGTTCCCAAATGAACTGCTCTTTTCACCTGACTGACAGGTCATAGAGGTTTGTAAAAATGGCCGCCAATATCCATGAAACAGAACTTTATACTCGCTACCTTAAATCACACACATGAAAATAGGATCCCAGGCAACAACAAAAGAGAAGTTTCGAAATCTTCATGGCATCTGCTTTGCCGGTGCTCAGAGTAACTGCTCAGTTCAGTGGGTCGGGGCATGGATTCTGGACCTGTCTTGGCTCAGTCCCAGCTGTACCACTTCCGAACAGAGTGAGCTCAGACAGAAAAAGCATGGCCGCTCTCTTGCTTTCTGTCCTCACTCACAAAATGCCACCCAAAGGGGCTGTTAGGACGTGTAAAACACTTAGAATCTGCCACAGGTTAAGGACAACGTAAGTGTTACCTGATAGCATTATTATTAATTGACGTGTCACTTATAATTCAGTCTGGGTAACTATTTCCATTTTTCTAGCACCTCAACTGATGCTCACAGAATTCTATAAACAGTTTAATTTACTAAAAGAATTTTTTCAGCCTGGTGTGGTGGTGCATTCCTATAATCCCAGCACTCTGGGAGGCTGTAACAGGAGGATCACAAGTTTGTGCCCAGCCTGGGCAGCTCAGTGACTTAGCAAGTCTGTGTTTCAAAATCAAAAATCAAAAAACTGCTGGGGATGCAGCTCAGTGTGAAGGCTCTGGGTTCAATCCCCAGTGCCCCAAATAAATGGATACATTTTTGTGTGTTGAGAATTCTGAATTCTATCCATAAGAAACATTGAATGGATTATCGGTATAGCAGTATCACAGAACCATTAAGTCACCAATAAAAAGGATGAGGCAGATCTACGTTTCCAGACACGGAGAGATGTCATACACGGTCAACATATGATAAACACCCATGTATCATTCCACGTAAAATTCTCTTCACTGCTCTTTGGGGTGTGTGTTGTTTCCTGTGTGTACAGACACATATCTGGGTTCACACCGAAAACGGTTGGAAGAAGATACACAACCCTATAATCAGTGGCTACAGCAGGACTCGGGATTGGGGGACCCATTGCCATGCGCACCACCAGAACTGTGTTTTATAGCCCACGGCTGCATGACTTTTATAGTTCAATACTAAGCACCCGAGTCAGGGACAAAGAGCTCAGTCCACCTTGGGGTGTCCACAAACTTCTCGATCAGCATAGCGTCGTCACTGAAGGACTTCCTCGCTTCTCTCCGTGCAGATTCCAACCGTTCGTGAAATTCCTTTTCGGATCTAGCAATCCTCATGCCCTAAGACAGAAAGGGTGGCTGTGATCACAGCAGACAGAGACGGCCAGTCTGAGACGGCGGGGCACGCAGCCGCCAAGCTTACTTTTCCTCCTCCGCCCCGGACGGCTTTGATCATGACGGGATAACCGATTCTGGCCGCCTGTTCCCGCAGGCACCGGTCGGACTGGTCCTCACCGTGATAGCCGTCCACGACAGGGACCCCAGCGGCAGCCATGACGGACTTGGACGTGCTGTGGAGCAGAAACACCCACGGCCCCGGGCTGCAGATTCTTTCAGGGAGAGAAAACAAATACAGCCCAGTGCGCCCACGCCAGTGGGACTCTTCAAAGGTTCAGAGAGGACCACAAGTCAGATCCAACAAATATTAATCAGGAGCTACGTGAACGCGTTCACCAGGTGCTCTTCCTCATTTCACGTGGTAGCTCGTGCCACCTTATTTTTGTCCCCAAATCTAATTAACATATTGAATAGAAACAGCGATGGCTATTATAACACTAATCACTATGACACTATTATAATCGAATACTTTCTGTAAGTCAAGTCTTCCCACATGGCAGAGAAGTAACTCATGCCTACAATAATTAAAGGGTAAAATTAAAATGCCATGGGCTGGGGATGTAGCTCAGTGGTTCCGCCGCCTGCCACGCAAGCTCAAGGACCCGAGTTCGATCCCCGGTACCAAAAATAAAATGAAAATGCTGATGACGCGTGAGAAGCTATTCCAATTGACCTCCACATAGTTATATTAAGAAAGAGCTCATACCTCTTTATACCCATGTCTCTAATTGCCGATGAAGGAGGACCTATAAAAATAATTCCTTCTTGTTTACAAAGTTCGGCAAATTCCATGTTTTCTGAAAGAAAGCCGTATCCTGGATGGATAGCCTGGTAGTGGGAAATAAAATGGCGATTTTATTAGTCAGCTTTTTTATTTTTATTTTTTAATTTTATGAGACAGAGTCTCACTCTGTAGCTCACACTGGCCTTGAACTCACTATGTAACCCAGGCTGGCCTCGAACTCATGGCAATTCTCCCACCTCAGCCTCCTGAGTGCTGCATGCCTGTTACTAGTTAGTTCTTAACAGACACAACTTTGTGTTTCTCCAGGGGAAGCCCTCCCTACACTGTTATGATCCCTCTCAAAATCTACTTCCAACGAGAAGTCTGGAACATTCATAATGAAATTCAGAAGCCTCACTTAACCCAAAAGAGCTTGTCTTTTTAAAAACATTTTTTTTAGTTCTGGGGATTGAACCCAGGGCTTTCTAGGTAAGACCTCCACCACTGAGCTACATATACGGCCAGCACTTGCATTCCTTTTTATTGTAGTAATACACGCATAAATTTAAAATTTACCATTTAATCACTTTTAAGTATGCAACGCAGTGGTATAACATTCCTAAATGTTTGTCATCTCAAACATAATTCACATTTCCTCCTTTTCCCTAGTCCTTCTTTCACAGATGGAATCATATACTTGTCCCTCAATATCTGGCTTGTTTCACTTAGTCCGCTGATTTCAAAGCTCATCATGCTACAGCAGGCATTAGAAAGTCATCCCTACTCCAGGCTAAGTAACAGCCCACTGCATGTAGGTGCAGGCCACATTTTGTTTATTCGTTCATCTGTTGATAAACACGTGGCTATTCCAACCCTTTAGCCACTGTGAACAGTCTTGCTGTGAGCAATGGTGTACAGGTATCTGGGATCTTCTCTCGGCTGTGTTCGGTATACACTTGAATTGTTGGATGATAAGGCACAGAACAATATATATTTTAATATTACGGAAAAATGTCAAGGAGCAAAGGGCTTTGGGGAGTTTGTTTATTGTCTCTGCACATGACTGGCCTAGAATTGAAATCACAGTATCCAAAAGCTAGAGAGAACACACTAGCACAGTATTACATCATCTATCCTCTGCCAATGTTATCTTTCCAGAAAACAAACAAACAAACAAACAAACATTTAAATCCAACAACTGAGGATTTAGCTCAGTAGCACTGTGCCTGCCTGGAAAGTGCAAAGTCCTGAGTTTGATTGCCGGTACCAGAAAAAAATCTATATATGTTGGGTGTGGTGGTGCACACCTGTGATCCCAGCACTCAGGAGGCTGAGGCAGGAGGATTGGCATGAGTTCAAGGCCAGCCTGGGTTGCATAGTGAGCTAAAGGCCAGCCTGAAATACAGAGCACCCTGTCTCAAAAATAAAAGAAAAATTAAATGAATAAGGTCCAAAAGGGGAAGGGAAAGTGGGAGGGACAGGGGAAAAGAAAGAAGGGAAAGGAATAAATATGATAAGGAAAAAAATGGAAACAAAGTCTTTGTAAATAAGGAAGGCTGGAGGAGGTGAAGGGAGGGCAGGGGAATGGGGGAAAAAAAAAAAAGAACCAAGATACATCATGTAAAGGTGCAAATGCCCCACGATGAAAGTCACTATATTGTATACCTAAAACGTACCAATAAACTTAATGAAAAAACATAAAGAGCCAGGGATTTAGCTCAGTGGTTCCACCACCTGCCTTGCAAGTAAAAGGTCCCAAGTTTTATCCCTGGTACCAAATAATAATAATAAATATATAAATTAAAGTCTATATAGCTGGGCATGGTGGTGCACACCTGCAATCTCAGCACTCAGAAGGCTGAGGAAAGAGGATTGCTGCAAGTTTGAGGCCAGCCTGGGCTACACAGTGAGATTCTGTCTTAAAAATAAAATCTACAGGGCTGGGGATTTAGCTCAGTGGTTCTGCTGCCTGCCTTGCAAGCACAAGGACCTGAGTTCGATCCCTGGTACCAAATAAATAAAGTCTACACACGCTTTAGTGTCATGGTGGCGAACCTATGGCACACGCGCCATAGCAGGCTTTTTATAGTGCTGAAAGCTCTAAAAGGTTCTCCAGCATTGATTTCATGAAAGAGGAACTCCTCGGGCTTTAGCCCAATCCCTTTTCATTTACTGAGAATTTTGTTTCTTTTTGTTTTTGGTACCGGGGGTTGAACTCGGGTCCTTGTGCTTGCGAGGCAGGTGGTGGAACCACTGAACTAAATCCGCAGGCCCTGTTTTTTGTTTTTTGAGACAGGGTCTCACTGTGTAGTTGAGACTGCCCTGGAACTCACTATGTAGCCCAGGCTGGTCTCAAACTCACCAAGATCCTCCTGTCTCAGCCTCCTGAGTGCTGGGATTACAGGCCTGCGCCACCACACCCAGCTAAAGTGTTGTAAATTCTTTTACTTTTTATTTATTTAGGGTTTTTTTTTTTTTTGGTACCAGGGATTGAACTCAGGCCCTTGCACTTGCAAGGCAGGCAGCAGAACCACTGAGCCAAATCCCTGACAAGAATTTTAACGAACATACTTACCTGATTTTCTAGCACATAAAAAGGGAAATCTTTAACTGAAGGCTTGGAAGAGAAAACACCCTGACAGCAAACAGAAGAAAAGAAGAAAGCAGGAGGCAGGAGGCAGAACAGGCCTTGGTGCTTCAGTGGGGGCTGAGGCCCTCTCCGGCGTCAGCAGCCCCGAGAGCATAACTGCTCTTCTCAAACAGCCAAGATGTGCTGTAATTACAGCCAAGGGAACGCAGGAAGAGAGACGTTCAGCCAGCCCTGTTTCAAAATAGTTAAGTTCCAAGAGGAGTTCGGAATTCAAGGGAGAGCTTGAGATGCCTGGGAAACTCGCATGAACCGAAAAACCCACATCCTCGTGGGCGCTGAAAAGACAGCAGCGCCACGGTCTTCCGCCAGCTCGCCGTTTCCCAGCTCCATTTTAGAATTTCATATGGAGCGGTCATCATGCGACGCAAAGCAAGACAGCTCTACACCCCAGTCTTCCTCGGTTGCTCTGTCTCCAAGTTTCCTTCTGTACAACGTCACACTCCCCTGTCTGGCGCTGACGGACTTAGCGGACTTACACCGCACAGCTGTCCCTGCAATCCACTTTCAGAACGCTTTTGGCAATTAACGACCTGCCCAGCTGCCTGTCTGCAGTGCATCGATCCCTAGTGTCAGGCTCATGTAACCACTGGGGTGGCCTGTAGTTTTATTTTATTTGATTGTCTGTAGTTTTGCCTGTTAAAAAAATCTTCATACAAATGTACTCCTATAGTACATAGTCCTATGTGTTTGGTTTGTTTTCTTTTTGTCCTCCCCCCCCCCTTCTTTGATATTGGGGATCAAACTTGGGACTTTGCACTTGTAAGGCAGGTGTCATTCTTCGGTTTTTGGATCTATGTAGTTCAGGTTGGCCTTGAGCTCACTATTAGCTTAGGATGGCGATCCTCCTGCCTCAGCCTCCTGCGTGCTGAGATTACAGACGTGCACCACCATGCCCGCTTGTCAGTCTTTCTGACTTTCGCCACTCCAGAGGATGTGCAGCGGTACTGTACTTTTTGAACATCCCTGAGATATAACAATATAATATGTCATATACAATACATATACATAATAAAAATTTAAAAATCACCGAGTCCAATGATTTCTTTTTGCTTGCTTGCTTGTTTTTTGGTACTGGGGATTGAACTCAGGTCCTTGTGCTTCTGAGGCAGGCAGCTGAACTACTGAGTTAAATCTCCAGCCCCCAGTGATCTCTTATATTCACAGAGTTGGGCAATCATCACTACAATCTAAGATACTGAATAAAATCGAATTATTATAGATTCTCATCACCTCAAAAACAAGCCCTATCCCTTTAGGCAGCCATTCTCTCTCCCAGCCCCAGGCATCTCAACAGGTTTGCTGATCCCGGACTCTTCCCAGAGTGGAATCACATTGCACGGGCAGTCCTGCAGGATTAGCTTCTTTCACTGACGTTTTCAATGTTCGTCCATTTTTTCAGCGCGCTTCCGTACTGTACCCTTTTACGTCTAGATAATATTCCATTAGATGGCTAAACCACATTGTATTCATCCACTACTCAGTTGATTGACATTTTGGCTGCTTCTACTTCTAGGCTTTTTTTTCCTGTACTGGAAATTGAACTCAGGACTTTGCACTTGCCCGCAGTCACGATACCACTGAGCTACATTCCTGGCCCATTTTGAGGTTTTCTGTTGTAAAGTAATGCTGCTATGAACATTCACGTAGAAATTTGTCAGTGAGTGTCTGTTTTCATTTCCTTTCGATGTATATCTAAGAAGTGGAGTTAATACTTCACATGCTAACTCTATATGTAGTTAATCTTTTGGGGAACAGCAAAACCGTTTCCCAAAGTAGCTGTGTTATTGGTTCACATGCCCACAGGTAATGTTTAAGGGGTCCACTTTTTTGGGGGGTACTGGGGATCAAACTTAGGACCTTGTGCTTGTGAGGCAGGTGCGGTGCCGCTGAGCTAAATCCCTGGCCCATGGTTTCCACTTTTTCATACCTTCACCAACACTTATTAATAAACTGTCTTTGTGATTACAGCATCCTAACGAGTATAGTTTATCTCACTGTCATTCAATAAATTTTAATTTATATTTATTTCCCTGGTGGTTAATAATGTTAAACATCTTTTAATGGGCTTGTGGGTCACTTGTGTATTTTATTTGCTAAAGTATTTATTAAAAGATTTGCACATTAAATTGGATTGTTTGCCTTAGCATTGACTTGTAAATGCAACTTATATATCCGTGTACAAGTGCTTTTTTTTGTTTTTTGTTTTGTTTTGTTTTTGGGTTTTTGAGACAGGGTCTCACTATATAGTTGAGACTGACCTAGAACTCACTATGTAGCCCAGGCTGGTCTCAAACTCACAGCGATCCTCCTGCCTCAGCCTCCCAAGTGCTGGGATTACAGGCGTGCGCCACCACACCAGGTTTGTTTTTCTTTTTTTGGTACCAGGGATTGAACTCAGGACTTTGCACTTACAAGGCAGGTGCAGTGCCACTGAGCTAAATCCCCAGCCCTGTTTTGTTTTTTGAGATAGGGTCTCACTACATAATCCAGGCTGGCCTTGAACTCACTATATAGCCTTGAACTTTTTTTTTTTTTTTTTTTGGTCAAAGTCTCACTTTGTAGTTCAGACTGGCCCTGAGCTCACTATATAGTCCAGGTTGGCCTCAAATTCATGACAGTCCTCCTGCCTCAGCCTCCCAACTGCTGGGATTACAGGCGTGTGCCACTATGCCTGGTTATAAACTTTTATTTTATTTTTTTTAGTTTTTTTGGTTTTTTTGAGACAGGGTCTCACTATGTAGTTGAGATTGACCTGGAACTCACTATGTAGCCCAGGCTGGTCTCGAACTCACAGCAATCCTCCTGCTTCAGCCTCCTGAGTGCTGGGATTACAGGAGTGCACCACCACGCCCGGTGTAATAAACTTTTATTGAATATATGCTTTGCACATTTTTTTCCAGGATCTAGACTTTAGGTTCATCTCTTTTGCAAAGATATTTAGTTCCTCTGGCTCTATTTGCTAAGAAAACTATCCTTTTACCTATGAAATTACTTTAACATCTTCATTTAAAAAAATCAAATGATTAAAAAAATGAATTGATTATATACATGTGGACCTTTCTATATACTTTGGACTACTAGTCTGATTTACTGGCTTATGTATTTATTCTTATGTCAATACTACATTGTCTAGATTCCTGTAGGGTTTTTTTTTTTTTCTTTTTTAAGTGCTGGTTTGTTGGTCATGCATTTTTTTTTTTTTTTTTTTTTAGATTCCTGTAGTCTTTATTGAGTATTGAAACATGGTCTAAGCTGAAAAAATACTAGTCTTTTCAATACTGTTTTGGCTATCTACTAGACTCTTTGACTATCTTAGGATCCACTCATCAATTTCTACAAAAACACCCAGTAGCAGTTTGATGAGGGGTGGAGCTCAATGATAATGCCAGCCTAGCATGTGTGGAGCCTTAGGTTTAACTTCCAGCACAACAACAGAGACAGACAGACAGACAGACAGACACACGGATTAATTTGGAAAGAATTGCCATATTGCTGTCTTGATCTGTTTTTACTAATTTTATTCACATTTGGATGAAGTGGGGCTTTTTGTTTGTTTGATGTTGGGTTTTTTTGTTTGGGTTTGGTTTTGGTTTTGGTACTGGGGATCAAACTCAGGACCTTGTGCTTGTGAGGCAGGTGGCGGAACCACTGAGCTAAATCCCCTGTCTGCACATTTGATTCTCAGTGATGCTACAGTGTAGCTGCCACTTTAATTTCCACAATGCTAATACGGAACGGGAAACCTGGGCTGGTGTTACACACCTGTAACCCCAGATACTCAGGAGGCTGACACCAGAGGATCACAATTTTAAGGTCCGCCTGGGCAACTTACTAAGACACTGTTTCAAAACAAACAAGATCTGGGGCTGGGTATGGCGGTGCATGCCTGTGATCCCAGCACTCGGGAGGCTGAGGCAGGAGGATCATCATGAGTCCAAGGCCAGCCTGGGCTACATGGCAAGACCCTGCCTCAAAAAAAAAAAA